AGTTGTCCGGTCTTCTCAGACTATTCATTGACACTGAGTCATGCCGCTCATTAACTCAGTGTGTGATTGTGGTGTTGGCGACAGCTTCTACACCTTAAACAAATTTATGCCTAGGTGGCAACAATTATTACATATACTGAATACCGGTAAGGTATATGCCAATATGCATCACTGCCACACCCTCTCTCATGCCCTCCGGCAGTTAAGGGTTGTGCTGTGATGATTTGAAGAACCACCTCCATACTCAAGTTTCTTCTACTTCATTTCCTATTAATTGCTTTACTTCTCAGCTTACTAGTCAGTCACTTCTCAGTTATAAATGTTTGGAAAGTAAAGCACTAGGCATGTATAGGCACTTGAATGCATCTGAATCTGTACCAGATATAAAATCTGGAATTAAAGCTCACATTGGTTCGGTCACAAAAATATGTAGCTGGTTCCTCCATGAGTCCAGAACTATTACTACCAAGAAGTATCTTTGACAGTTTTCTGTACTGAGAGCTTCTATGAGGCTGTGACCTCGAGTGTGGCAACCATATGCTAACTCCAGATATGTACACCCACCAAAAAAGTATCGTTTGCCATGGGGTTGATGTGATTCAAGACACTCTGAGCAATGTTACTCGAGCTGTTTCTGAATGCTTGGTAGTTCTACATCTGTGACCTTTGAGCATGAATGAGTATATATGTTTTCGAATGATGTGAAGCTTCTGAGGCTTCTGATCATATATTACATAATCAGAGTGGGTGTCATAAATGGACACCAACGCCACCATGCCAGTCATCAAAGGGGTCTTACATTGATTAGGGCAAGGAATTATTGGGGGAGACATCGCAAGATGTGAGAAGTGCTATTATTGCCCCTCACAATGAGTATACATTAGGGTGTGTCATACGGAGGCGAATTTTTTTTTTTTGAGTTTGAAAAATCGGCCCATGGTATTAATGATGTAGTTCTATGTGCAGAATCATGTGATATCTTCAGATTTGAAAAGTTTTCATTTTTTGCTAGGTAAATTTTAACTTGAAATCTTATGAGAAAATTCAGTATTCTACCCTTTTACTAACACCACCAAAGGTATGGTTAAAGTGAAGTAAATGTATCAGGTTAATTAAGAGATGAAAAAATGATCCAGAATAGTGAAACGAATGATCTTGACACATTTATTAAATTTAATATCTTTTAGGAAAACAAAAATCATCAAATACAAAAAACCGGTTTTACTTACTACGACCCGGTGTTGCTGCACACCATAGAGAACATGTCTTTCTTGCTTCTGTTTCTACTCATCACCTCCTTGCTGACCACCTGAGCTCGGATGTAGCCTTCCCTCCTCTCCTGGCTGTACACGTGACTGCTGGCCTCGCTCACTTGCTGTACACAACGCTCTATACTCTGGGTGTGTGAGGGCCAGGCAGGGACATGCATGGGGTTGTCCAGGAAAGCTCTGACTTGAACATTGGTGAGGCTGCAGGTAAGAGGGGGCTCACTGCCAGCCTGGATGTTATCCAGATCTATGAGATCAGTGAGGGTCTTGGCACCTACTGTAGATTGACTTCAGGAGTCTTCCTGACCCCTGAAGGAATCGTCACCAACTGATCTGTCATGCCCAGATCCTCTCATGTAAGTCTCATATCCAAGACCTTTTTTGACTGCCACTCTTCTTTCCTCCTCATCCTTACTGCAGAGCATTGTCTGCAGAACGTCTTCCTGGATGAGCATACCAGGAAGATCTCCCTGCCAGTCTGCTCCACAATCTGAACAACCTTCCTTGGCTGACTCAGGAGCTCAAGCTGGAAGAGAACATGCCTCTCGGACCTTCAGTGAACGATGACTTGACCTTGGTGTTGAACCAATTTGGCAAGTAGACACCACGATGAATTGGATTAACAAGTCTCAGGCTGTGGCTGGTTCCCTTTCAGTTTATGATGAGCGACCCAAATTCTGCAGAACCTGAGAGCTGCCAGAGCCACCCAGGAATGTGAGACTGGACCTATCTGCAGGTAAGCAAGTCTATCAGCCATGACCCCAGTTTTGATGGCACTGCAAATCATGTAACCATAGTACTGGTCAGTACTCAGGTCGTCAATGACAGTATGTGCAAGCTCAACGAGTGGAGGGCCAACTGTGATTTTTTCAAAGCTCGGATTTATTTCTAACTCAGTGGCAGAGTCCAGCATCTTGCCAAGAGGACCAGACCATCTGTTGTTTGAAAGCGTCTTGCCATCCAGCTCCTGGATCAGATGTCTGAGTGGCAACTCGTTGGTGTGGAGGTCACAAACAATCCAGACCAGCTTCCTCCCAATCTTCCGCTCTATCCACTGTATGACCTCCCCTTGCCACCCTGTGTACGTGTTGGTGCTGTCCCCTCCAATGGCCTGCAGGGTCTGGTCTACGTTCCTCTCTCTGAGCCAGTTCACAATGTTATCTGCCACTATCTCAGCTGGTTTCCTGATGTCACCTTTCTCTGGAGTGAAATTCCACAAATACTTCCCTCCTGGTTCACTGCAGCAGGAGTAGTGTTCCTCCTTCACCATGGCAGGGAACAACTTGTCAGAATCTCCAACTTTCATGAACACTTTAGTGTCATCCTTCTCCCATCAAAGAACAAACAATTGATTCCATTTTCTCTTATCCCCTTATCAAACTCCTCTTCTAGGTTACTGACAAGTTTCTCCTGAGCTCTCCTTACTTTGTTATGATCTATCACCAGGTGAACATCATCAGGTGTTATCAAACCACCGTCAACCCAGGCAGCTGTTGCTATCTCTGCAGTTTCTCTGGGACCAGTGTGGTGTCGCATGCTGGCCAGAGCTATGCTCGGGATATCTTTCCTATTTCGAATCTTATGCCTGGAAGGTTTGGAATCATTATTTTCTGGGTTAGGGTCAAAGTCACCATTCTCCTGGTCAGCACTCGGATCAGCCATGGGGAAGTCATTAAACTCTGAATCAGCTTGACTCCAATCATCGGCCTTTTTTACCTCACCCTGGGCCTTCTCAAGTCTCTTTTCCTCGGCAACTCTTCTCCTCTTGTCTCTCTGTGGCAGCCTCCTGTCTCTTGGACTCCGGAATATCTTGGCTAGAAATCCTTGAGGCCCCTACTGCCAGTCTTCTCTCTCTGTGCTTTGACAAATGCCAGTTCGATCTAGGAATCTTCAGTTCACGCTTACTGCAAACCACAGGAGATGTGGGCCTCGGATTTACAGTCACGATCATCCAAACTCAGGACAGAGAACAATTGGAGCTGCCACAAGTAATTATGTCAAATAACAGGTCAGTTGGCAGCAAAGCTGTCATAACTGCAGTTTTCTCTCCCAAGAGATATCTCTTGCCCTTTTCCCCAACTGGCTAGCAGTCTCTCACTAATCTTCTTCTGACTTGTTGTTATGACTGGAGGCTTAGACAGGCGTTAGCCAAGAGTGTACTGTGCCAAGACAGCTTTGGTCATATCACTGGCAATGTCTTTGTTTGATGTAAGTTCTTTGGTTCTTTTCACTGGTGCCTGATTAAAACACCGTATCTCAAAGCATCTCTCAATGTAGGCAACTCCGGCTAGGGAGCTCTCTCCCAGACCAAGATAGTGACTGAGATGGCTGGATTTTTGGTTCCTCGTCCCTGGCACAAGCAGCCATCCTATAATATCAACTTATAAATGCATCAGAATCTGAAACAGAAAAAAATATTGTTAGTTGGGTTGTTAAGAATGAAGTCAAGAAAGCAATGTTCACTATTTAATTGTAATGCACTAATGCAGCTGTACGTTAGATTTTCGATAAATTTCACGCTAAAATTTACCTAGCAAAAGGTTGCAAAATATTGAAACTGAAATTATTTTCTGCTTATATACACTAAAATCTACCAAAAAAGTGATGGGCCATTAGTTTTAGCTGATCTTCCCTCCTATGACACACTCTAGTATACATAAGTGAGATAGCACTGTGAACTGGCTGAATGAACCCACATTATCACGATGAGTTAGGCACCATGAAACAACTGGTGCCACACTGAAGCCTACAACAACAAATGTCTTACTATAGGTGAATAGGGGTTCTGTTGCCTGCAAGCTCCCTTGATTTAAAATCTTATTTTGGTGTTAAACCAATGCAATCAGTAGCATGGTAGATCCCATATAGACCAATATATTGTATAATGTTGTAGCTGTTCACTCTAGTATCAAGTACCATTTGCTTAGTCACTCTATATAAATCAGACATATGATGAACAACACGAGTAGGCATATTGTGAAACTCAGTACAGTACCTGCATTAATGAAACTCTGTTTTTTGAGGTCTGTCTCAGTTATGATATTCTGAAGCATTTCCATTTAATGTATACTATATTTCAGTGTTATTGTAATCATCAGTCAGTGGGTTGTCTACATATGCCTTGCTTCTACCCAACATGATATATAAATTAATACCTGTATAGCTTAATGGATTTCTTGTTATATTGAAGTACAGTATTTAGCATGCCATACAAGGATGACTCCCTCCCCCAGTCGTAGCCCCATCTCTACCTGTTGCTGGTATGGCGAGCAGGAGTACCAACTTACTATGATGCACTAGGGATCATATCAAAGCATTTCGTCAAGCACTTCAAAGTGTATTGACAGAAAATATAACAATACTTTTTGGGGACTGTACATTTGACTGTGAAACGCCCTTGGCACTAAAAAAATTAAATTAAATAACTCCATTTCTTTCTGTAATATAAATTAGGCAAGTTTAGATGTTCTAATCTCTCTTGATAAGTGACATGTCTGAATGCTGACATAAGTTTACCAGCCCTCCTTTGAACATTCTTGGAGATCAGAATTACTACACGAGGTAACATTACACTTTTGGAAAGCTTTATGAGAGATGAACCATCTAAGTACTGTATGTGTAGAATGTACAAAGAAGTCTCCTACTAGTTAACTAGCAAGACTCATCTTTTTCTTACAATGATCTGAGAACTTTAGTTTATTGTTAACATAAACATCCAGATATTTCTCACATCTAGTTTCTGTTAGGGAACATGTTTTCATCATGTAAGGACATGCGATACTCTTCCTTGCCATTAGTAGGACCAAGGTGCATCCTCTTGCATTTTGGAAATTTTAATCTCACCAGGCCTGAGGCTGACAGAGATTGTTCTGTAATGTTTCACAGTTCAATAGATTTTTAATATATCTGAATAACTTGGTATCATCTGCAAACATTTTATGGAAGAATGAGTTGCAACTAGCCAACCCTAGCAACGGAGTCAAGAAACCGGCAAGTTCCCACAGGTTTACTTCCGGCAGCTGTGTATAGAGGCTCGCACTCTCTCCATCGAGATTCATTCTGCCCTACGTTCCTGAACACGCAACACCTCCTCCAAGCAAGCTCCTCGCTGTCCAGGTCTCATTCAACCTGGAGGACAGCAACACGAAACATCTCCTCTAACGAAACTCCTGCACAGATACCTCCTCAAGCACGCTACTCACTGAACGTGTCTCTTGACCAAGCTTCTCACCACACAGCATCTCCAGCACCAGACTGTCTTGTATATAAGATATTTTATATAAGAAAACCACCACCTAGAGTTTCCATCCATCCATCCTGAGTGTTGGACAACATAATATCACAAAACCCTACAGTACATCCTAGAGTGCTAAGAGAGTTGTGCAACGAGTTTGCAGAGCCCCCGAAGATCCTGTTCTGTAAACGCCTGGATGAACAAATGGTCCCCAGTGAATGGAAAGTGGCTTATGTGAGTCCTATCTTCAAGAAGGACGATCGTCACTCCACGAAACAACCTTGTAAAGTATTGCCAACACGGTTTTATGCTGGGACGCTCCTGCTTAACACAATTGCTCAAGGTATTGGATATTTGGACCCATATTCTGGAACGGGGTGGTAATATCGACAATATTTACCTAGATTTTGCCAAGGCTTTGGACAGTGTACCTCATGAAAGGCTGAAAATCAAACTGGAAGGGTACGGAATTCGGGGAAATGTCCTAGAGTGGATAGAAGACTTTCTACACGACCGCAAGCAGTGTGTGGTGATTAATGGCACGAAATCATCATCTGTACCCGTCACAAGCGGGGTACCACAGGGCAGTGTGTGGAGTCGCTGTTTGTTTGTTTCATAAATCGAGTTGCTACTCAAAAAAACGGATCGTTTTAAAAAAACTTTGCAAAAAAAACAGGGGCCAAGAAAATCACTTTTGCAAATTTGTGTTTTATTTAGCATTTATTGTGTCTTAAATGAAATGTTAGTTATTTATTCATAGTTAAAGAGTTCATTATCTACTAATTTAACTATATAAACATGTTAATAATGCCCCAGATAGCTATAGAAGCATAATTTCTTGATTGCAAAAAAAAAAAAAAAAAACTGCTTAACAGAACATGTTCTTTGCAAATTTGTGTTTTATTTTTCATTTATTGTGTTTTAAATGAAATGGAAATTATTTATTCAAGGTAAAGGGTTTATTATCTACTAATTGAACTATAAACATGTCAAGCATGCCCCAGCAACCTCTAGAAGCATAGTTTCTAGATTGCATCCCATTCCAGAAAACATATTTACAAACATTTATAATATTTTTTTTACAAAATTCACATTTATATCAATAAACATTTAACTTAATCACCCATAGTTATCATATTGTATTATCTTTATAAACTATCTGTACTTTTATTATTAAGTTTTTAAATATTGCAATTAATTTGTATGCTTATACTATCAAAGAGGCATTACTATATATGTGCTACAGTAGTAAATTATAGTTAATTAATAATTTAAGTTAGATATAGGGCTAATAATAATTGATGTTAAGATTAGCATTAAGGAAAATTTTAAAAAATTTGCAAAGTGTATAACGTTTTTACAAATAAAGCATATTTATATTCCTTTCATAACTACTAGCCTATTATATAAAGTTATACAGTAGGGTGATATTAGCTAGCTTACATGCCTTTGGGTACAGGAGTCACCTGAGGGGAGACCTTAAAGAAATAATTCTTAATACATTTATAGTCACCTAAGGTAGCTTTCTGTCTGCATGCCATAAAAAGGCCAGTAAGGTTTATACCCACTAGCGTAGCTAGGGGTGGGGGGGGGGTGGGTCCGCCCCAGGCGGCACTTTTGGGTCTGCTCATCACCCATATCTGCAGCTACTGGAGACGTTAATCCATCCCTTTGTATCGGCGGCAAGTTAATCCTTGTCGTGTCTGACCTAACACCTGACCCACATCATCACGGCCACGTCATGAGCTACACCCTTGCTATGAGGCCCCCCGCCACACACACAACCTGTAACCTGTTGAGGATTAAGGAAACAACTTCAAACAAGTACGCCAGTGAGCTCATGTGGTGTGGGTCAGGTGTTAGGTCAGATACGACGAGGATTAACTTGCCGCCGATACAAAGGGAAGGATTAACGTCTCCAGTAGCTGCAAAACCATGCAGTCTCGGGTCATATCAGTTCATGTACAGCCGACCAATCCACCAGTTACAAGCAATTCACTTCAGTTCTGCACAAGTCTCCATCGTGACAAGACGAGGGGAGGCTAGACGACTTTTAAGTTCTCTTGTGTTTTCGATCCAGTTATTTACTTCGTTGGAAGACATAATACTATAAGGTAAGAAATATTAAAGTATTGGTTAAAAAATATTGATGTGACTTGCTGCGGTACTGAGATTAAATATTAAGATTTTGTTTCACAGCATTGCGATTTTATACTAAGACACTATCCTCACTGGGGTACAGACAAAAGCCCCCCCCGACAAAAGCCACCCAGACAAAAGCCCCCCAGACGAAAGCCACCCAGACGTGGAAAGAAGGCCCCCTTGAACTTTTGCAGTTTATTCAAAAGTATAACCTTGGGAACTCGGTTCCAAATATAGTAATAATGCTGAGGATTTTCCTCACAATTGCTGTTAGTGTTGCTACCTGTGAGAGGAGTTTTCGAAACTAAAACTGATCAAGAATTACTTAAGATCTACTATGAGCACCTTGCGGTTGAGAAATCTTGCCATACTGTCTATAGAGCGACAATTGACAGATAAAATAGTTTTTGACAATGTCATTGAAGAATTTGCCAACAAAAAAACAAGAAAAGTTACTTTGTAGAAAGTTGTAGTTTTCATTTCAGAAATAAAGATGGTCCTAATTTTTTACACTTTTTTACTTTTTTCCCTATCCTATATGTCGTTTTTGCTTTTTGTTTAACTGTTACTTATAAAGTTTAAGTATGTTTGGGGTGTATTTAAAGCATACTATATTTGAGTATGTGAAAGTAAAGTTGTAGTTTTAATTTCAGAAATAAAGATGGTCCTAATTTTTTACACTTTTTTACTTTTTTCCCTATCCTATATGTCGTTTTTGCTTTTTGTTTAACTGTTACTTATAAAGTTTAAGTATGTTTGGGGTGTATTTAAAGCATACTATATTTGAGTATGTGAAAGTACAGTAATATTATAATGGTACACAAACTATTTAATATATATATATATATATATATATATATATATATATATATATATATATATATATATATATATATATATATATATATATATATATATATATATAAATAAGAGTGAGTCACTGTGCAATATGAATTTTTTGTGGGGGCACGGCAAACTCAAGGGCCGCCCCGGGCAGCACACACTCTAGCTACGCCACTGTTTATATCTTCCCACCTGCAGGTCATAAAAACACATTAGCTAATGTTTATTGGACCTATACCGCTTATGACCTAGATATCTTCACATCTCTAGGTCATAAAAACACATTAGCTAATGTTTATTGGACCTATACCGCCTATGGCCTAGATCTGCAGGTCATAAAAATCCAATTAAATTTTATTGGGCCTATGGTCCACCAGCACAGAGCAGACCAGGTCAATGTTTCTATTTTCCATAAGTTTTGGCCTTCATTAAACTTAGCTATACAAGATCTAAATTTTGAATATAGAGTAGCTACTTATTTTAAATTTGAAACTCATTTGCTTTTTAATTAAATTCATCATAAATTATTTAGTTTAAAATTCAAACAATTTAATGTAACTTGAAATATTTACAAATTTTAATAAATTCATAACTTTGCATTTGTTTTGAAATAACAGTTCTAACATATTTATAATGTGTGAAATCTCAAAGTTCTGTTTGGGTTTTCTTTGGTCACATAGTAGGCTATTACCTCAACCAATCATATCATTTGCTCCACCCACATGTAGGCCTATGTCCAATAAGGTAATAATATTTCTAATAATTGTCAAGTTGTCCAATGATATTAACTTTGTTTCAAATTATCAAATCATATTCTTTTTTTGTCATCTTGCTCCACCCATGGAATAATCTATATATAGGCTTGGCATTGTATTTTCTAGTGTTATATTTAACCTTATATTGTCTCATTCAGCAGTAGCTATATTATTTGGAAAATAAGAATTTATTGAAAACATGCCTGGAAGAAAGAAGAGTGCTGTGGCCAGTCTTTTTAAAAACATCTCAGGGGACTCAAAACTCCAAGGTAAAATGCAATTTTTGCAACCTAATTTTGGCAAAAAATAGCACACGAATGGCCAAACATATTGAAAAGTGTAATAAATGTGGTGATAACATTAAACTGAAATACAGTCAACCCTTGCTTTACGCGGTCCCACATTCCGCGTTTCCACGTTAACGCGGTGCCCTGCCAGAACCTAACGTGCTCACATTACGCGGTGCGTGAACCCCATTACGCGGAGTGTGTCTGGCACGACGCTATTTTTAGATTCGCCCCACCCGCCTGCCTGCCTGTGCTCTCGCCTCTCCTTCCCTCCTCCTAGGCAAGCCGCGCGGTAAGGTTGCGCAGTGTGTCTTTGTTGCGTTATCACTGACGTCATATGACGTATTGGACTGTGATTGGCCATGCATCCCTACCCCCCTCTGCTGCTAGCTGTAATTGGCTTAAAGTATTATGACGTGTCCACCCGGGGGAGGGAGGGAGGGAGGAAAGACGATGCTTGACCTAGCCGCGCCAGTTTCATCCCTCCACGCCAAACCGTGTAAACGTGTATCCATTGTTCTGTAAAATGGCTTCCGCCGGACCACCGCCCCCAGAGAGAAACCTTTCCTTACCTGGACCCAGCGGCACTGTAAAATGGCTTCCGCCGGACCACCGCCCCCAGAGAGAAACCTTTCCTTACCTGGACCCAGCGGCACTAAGCCAAAGAAGACACGACGTTCCTTAAGCTACGAGGTGAAGTATACCATCATCCAAGAGTTGGAGAAAGGAACAAGGCAGGTTGATTTGGCGCGCCAGCATGGTGTGAATGAATCTACGATTCGAACAATAAAGAAGGATGCAGCCAAGATAAAGGAGCACATGAAGATCACAAAGTCTACAGGTGCTTCTATGATCAAGTATTTTCACAACCAGGTGCTTCTAAAGACAGAAAAATTACTTGTGAGGTACTTGGTGCGTCAGGCGCGACGGAACATGGCGGTCGACACGCGCTCTGTTAAGGAGTACGCACGTGAACTGTACATTGCAGTGGCACGAAAGATGGGAATTACAGAGCCCAAACCCTTTAATGCTTCCTCTGGGTGGTTACAGAGGTTTAAGATCCGGAACAAGATCACCAATATAAACATTGGTGGTGAAGAAGCGAGTGCTGACCGTGCTGCGGCTAGGGAATTTCCTCCGTTTTTACGTGAGAATATGGAGAAAGGACAGTACACCGACGACCAGGTGTTTAACATGGACGAATCTGGTCTTTTCTCGAAAAAGCTACCTTCCAAGTCCTTCGTTGTAAAGAATGCCAGCAAGATTCGGGGCCGGAAGATGCAGAAGAAACGCATCACCGTCCTGTTTACCACCAATGCCTCCGGAACCTGTAAGCTCAAGTTATCGGTGATCCACACAGCACGCAAGCCGCACGCCTACAAAACCATGGACATGACCAAGCTAAATGTCCACTGGCTGACCGCAAGTAAGGCGTGGATGTTCTCTACACTGTCCCTCTCCTGGTTTGATGGCTGTTTTGTTCCTGATGTAAAGAAATTCTGTGAGCGACAGAATGTGCCATTCAAGATTTTGTTGCTGCTGGACAACGCACCAGGACACTCGCCCCTACTGTTAGATCGTCACCCCAACGTAAAAGTGGTCTTCCTTCCTCCCAACACTTCGTCTATATTACAGCCCATGGACCAAGAGTTAATCTGTAATGTAAAAGCTGCATTCTCTACGAAAAAATACAAACTCCTGAACGACTACACCAACACCAGGGAAGAGTTGCGTAACCTGAATGACACCACCACCGATAGCAAGAGCGAAGAAGATGAGGATCAACAGTTGGCACAGCAAAAAATACTGTTCAAACAATTCTGGAGAGTATTTAACATCAAGAAAGCTGTGGACTTCTTGGTGGAGTCATGGGATCAGCTGTCTATTGCTACAATTCGTCACGCATGGAGACATGTGTTGCATGGAATACCAGGTGAGAGGAGGAGTTAATCTGTGACTGGTGAGGTTCAGACTGTTGCAGTAGCAGTGGACCTTGCCAGAGAAGCTGCGCAGTGTTTTACAGTTCCAGGCTTCCCCGAGACCACCAACGACGACATCATGGAGGTGATAATGGAACCTGATGTGACTACCGAGGAGATGTTACATGATGATGACGACGTCAGTAAAGAGGCAGGTGGTGCGTCATCCCAAGAAGAACAACACTTATCCCATAGTAATGTTAGGGATGCCATCGAGTGTATCGAGAAAGCCAAGCTCCTCCTTTCCGACGACCCTGACGCAAACAGGTATGAAATCTTCACTACCCAGCTGTTGCAGACTATGGAGCCCTACATCAAGGTGTATCACGACAACATCAACACCAGCCGTCAGCAAAGCATAACAGATTTCTTCGCCCGCAACCCACCACAGCCAGCCCAAGCCAGTGATAGTTGTTATTGGGTGTTCTGGGTAATAAGTTCTATATACAGGAGAGAACAC